TTCCAACAGCAAAAGTTTGCTATTGTCTTAGGCCAATCCTATGAACTGCTAAACCATTTTTTAACAAGAAAAGATTTGGTCAATTGCTGATAACTGTCAAGACTACTATGATCAACTATTGATGCAGAAGCAAATTCACAACACATACATACCACTAGTGTCAATAAATTTTTATTTGTCATGCATTTTCACCTGATCATAAATCTTACTTTATAGCTGCGAATATTCATTAAACAATATATGCATCTTGATTGATTGAATAGTATCTGTGTGTGGCTGTGCATGAACAAATGTTTATATAAGTATTTGCATGGCCCTGGTTAGAATTCTAGACTTGGTGGCTCATGAATTAACAGTCTAAGAATAATAATAGCAAATTAATCAAGTTATGTCACCAGCTGGGACCAATGATATCAGCTACATTATGTAAGAATCTAAGAAATATGTTATGCATGTTTATTAGGGTGTATTTATATTGTCCCAATCCCTAAGGGTTCAATGGCTCCACCCCGAATGGCTATATATGAATATTTATAGCCTGTATAAATATAGTTCATATTTAGCCAATAGCGGTTGATATATAGCCACCATAAAGGCTTCTGAGAATTGCTTGTTTAGATTGTCTCAAGTCAAAATAGCAGAATGCTATTGTTTTAGTAGTTTATATACATGGTGGCTGCTCAACTTTATATCTATGTCCATGGTGGCACACACATGATTTGTTGACGTGTGTACTATAGGAAAATATCAGAAAGAACGGATAAAAACATGCTCAACATCCAAATGCTATACAAAAAATTTCCTCTTCCTTGTCTGATGGCACTATACAGTCTGACGCAAAAAGTTAGCCCACCCTTTGAAACATCATAATACATCAAGTTTTGCCAGTTTTAACATGCAAATGACCAGTGGCAAACAATTTGTCTTGCGCTCTGCAACCTATAGCTGGTGAAATTTGGTGAAAAAGTTAATTGCTGGCAGAAAAATCACGCAGTCTGTGTTTCTGCACCGACACAAAAGGTTAGCCCCACTTTGCAAGCTTGGCGCTCTTGCGGACAGGACGCAGTGTATACTCTTTGCAAAGGGTGTGTTCATAGCGTAGTAGTTGTGCACAGATCTTATGCTCACCTAGGCAAGAAATGGGCGCGGGAAAGCCTCTAACTGAGTTTCAGAAAGGTGCCATTCAAGCCCTGATGGTGCCGCCTGAGGGCGAGCGTCCTAGCCTGCGACAAATGGAGGCACAAGTGGGGTGTAGCGGCAAAGCCATCTCCTACTATCTCAAGGACCCCGTGCACTACAGAAAGCGGCACTCCAAAGGCCGCCCTAAGAAGATGTTGGCCTGTGACACGCATTGGAGCTCAATGTCTCCAAGTCTACCGTCTCTCGCACCCTCGCGTCCTCCGGCATCGTGAAGATGAACAAGGACCCCCCAATTGACCAAGGCTCACAAGTGCATGCCAGGGTTGCCTAGGGCACAAAATATGCAGGTACTAGTGATGACACCTGGGCCAAAACCATCTTCTCTGATGGGAAGAAATGGAATTTGGATGGCCCAGATGGTCTGAAGTACTCCTGGCATTGCCCGGCCCTTGCCGCAGGAATGATCCAAAGACAGCTTTTAGCCGCCAAAATGGTGGGGGCAGTGTAATGGTGTTGGGGGCCTTTCATGCAAACAGGATGAGCAAGCTCGTCTTCCTCGAAGGCAACCAGTGCACAGACAACTATGTCCAAACGCTTGAGGACCATCTACTTCCTGTCATCCGCCACCAAATTTGCCGTGGCGCCATCTTCCAACAAGATAATCCCTCAATCCATACGGCGCGCACAACCAAGGCCTTCTTCAAGCGTGCCAAAATCCGGGTTATGGACTGGCCAGCCAAGTCCCCCAATCTGAATCCCATTGAGAACGTCTGGGGGTACATGGCTGGGATCGTCTACGCCTGCGGCAAGCAGTATGACACGAAGGAAGAACTCGAGTTGGCCATTCAAACCGCCTGGTCCAATCTGGACCCCAACTACCTCTGTAGATTGTCTCAGGGCATGAAAAAGCACTGCTTGGATGTCTATAAAGCCAATGGGGAGCATATTGTAAATAACCTTTAGTTTTGCAGCTGACGTATGTTTTGTTTTACCTAAAATGTCAATGTGTACAAAGTAGGGCTAACCTTTTGCGTCGGTGCAAAAACATGTGTTTTTCGTTTTCTCCGTTAGTACTAATTACATTTTCACTAGTCTATTTTATTTTGATTACTGAGACCAAGACGATTCGTTTGCCACCATTTGCACAATAAAACTTGCAAAACTTGATGTGTTATGTTTTAAAGGGTTGGGGGCTAACCTTTTGCATCGGGCTGTAGCTGAACAGGTTTTTTTAGAAATAATAGTTGCTTGTTCAATTTATTTATTTTATTTGCAATGTTTACTCTGTTTGTATTAGGTCTTGGCATTCTATCAATTTTTTACTAAAACAATATTGGTAAATTCTGCAATGTTAATTATGTGATGATTGGTGATAGTGGTGAAAATCGAATGAGGTACGAGTGCATTTGTGGATTGTGATGGACGAAATTGTGAAAAATGCTTTGGATGAAGTTGGTGTGTAGGTTGTGTGAAGAAACAAGAAACACCTTTTGGTTTTCAATTTTTATGGTTTATATATTGTGCATTTGGGTGGTCTTTGTCTGACCTCAATGCACAGAACCTACTAGCCAACAGGGCAAAGACAAGGAAAGAATATTTTTGAGAAACCTGAGTTTCCTTTTATCATATTTAAGAGGTATTGACAATTGTGAATATAGTCACTGGAATCAACTTACTTGATACATTATAACTGTATTCCCACTCAGGTTTCAGCATTCTAAGATAAGGTGGAATTTCTAGTAAATGAAATGGTCTTGCACTAAAATAACAAATGGAACATTTATTTTGATATGAAATTAAACTCACATGTATTATTACAGAATTGAACCCTAGATTTGGGAGTGTAATAGAGGTTTCTGTTAGCTGGTATTCTGGTAATTTTTCCTGCAAAGATGATTTTTTTTTATATAGAATAGAACCAGGTTAGAAGTTTGAATATTTCCCTATGTGGGAGAATCCTATTTTTCTGTGGTGCTCTGAAAGTTAACTTGGGAAAATAAAGGTAATTTTTTGAGTTCCTAAACTAAACTCTAATCTCAAACAAATAATTTTGACAGTACAAGTGAAAAGTGAATTTGATTAATTGTACTGGCCCCTTACGCTCAACGAAAGCTGGTTATTTATGACATTGTCTCCACCAATTTTGATGGATTATTAGTATCTCAGCCTTGAGCCTAGTGATGAGAAGCATGGTTTTCTTGTAAGATCTTGAATATTGTCATGAAAAATCATATTCTTCAGTAGTTTCATAAACTGAGAACTTCACAAAGAGTATTCACATATATAGTGCTGAATTCTAAAAAATAACACTTTGATTTGGGTTATAAAAAATTATATAAAAATATAATTTTGACTAGGTCTTCTCAACCTTCTATAGTCATTTCAAACACAATGCAATGATATTAAATGAAAAAAGCTACACAGATTTCTCATTTATTACAATGCATTTTGTGATTTTTGTCAGATACCAGTAAGCTGAATTATTTTTTCATTTTAATACAGCATTGTGATTGAAATATTCTTCTTTAGTAATTATTCAATATACTCAATACTATTTCAATATACTGTCAAACAGGGTAATAAGGGGCAGGCGGGGTAATAAGGGACAATCCTCCGACATTTTGTAGAAATGTTGTAGCAGCTAAACTAATCAAAATATTGCATAACTAAAAATAGTGGCGTAAAGTTCAACATTTTCTATCTATGTAGCATAAAGCTAGTTAAGGAATCGTACATATATTACCTTGAAAAAAAATCACTGAAAAAAGTGTGAAAAGTGAGAATTTGGAAAAGTGCCTCTGCTAAGGTCTGTAGCAAAAAAATATTTGTCATATTAAAAAACCTTACTTACATAAAAGTTGCACACAGGTGTTGGCTTAAAAATGTGATTGACAGAATTTGCATATCTCACTAAAAAAAAAAAAAATGGCGGCCATTTCCACAAGACAGGGAAATAAGGGACACCCCTAAAAACGCATTTACAGTAGAACCTTGGTTAGCAAAGGCTCCAGTTCTTGAAAAAATCATCTAAAAACTAGGAATTTTGATTCCATTTACCTTGCTCAGTGAAAAAATATTCACTTGACAAAAAATTAATGCATCATCAGTCATCACAAAATTGTTTATAGAATGTCATAGATAGAATTGAGCACTGGGCAACAAAGAATGAAGTAATTAACTTGAACTTTGATTTATTTCTCCAAAAATATTATGGTTGTCACTAAAATATTCCTTCCTTTTTCAGGTATGTTTATTACCATCTTTTTTGTTATAGTGAAATCACTTGATTCAATTAAAATTGTGCAAAATTATAAGTCATCCTGTAAGCTTACAGATACAGAAGAACTGCTAAATGGCTTGAATATGAATATGAAGCTTGCAGTGGACAAGGTCATTGTCAATGCTCAATGGCATGTCCATGGATATTGTAATATTACATATGCGCAAAACCATCCCTTATTACCCTGTTTGACAGTACCATGTCTTGATATAGTATATTGAAATGTTCTCTATATAGTAATTTTATATCAGCTCTAATGATTAAGAACACTTATCATTTAACATATGAACAATGATGAGTATATGTGAGCACTCATTTCACATCATTTTCAACTTGGTGTAAATCAAACTTGCATATTGTAGTTTCTCAAAGTGAAACTATTTGCACCACCATCATGCTACGGCTCATGGTGGTGCAAATATGGTGAATGAATTATTTTAGGTTTTTGGTTGAGATACCTGGTTTTGATCTTGCTCTATTTTAGGTTGACATTAATGTTTTTAAGTTGTATAAAATAACGATGAACAAAATTCTTGAGTCTCAAAAAGGAAGATCAAAACTTTGTTGTTTTTCATTTTCCAGTATCTCATGGCTGGATAAATTTCCACCTAGACACAATGTCGGAAGTTTTTGCAAGGTTATCTGAGCGTTCGCCCGAAGATGGAGAGACCGCTGAGGAGGATGACTTTGCTTTAGAATTAAGTGTTGCTCCTGAAGAATTGGCTGAATTTGCATTGGATTCTGAAGATATTGATGTATCTCAGAATGACCAATCTCTAAAACCTGCTACAAATACTGAATTTGGTAAGTTTGAGCTGTTTTCAAAGCATTTTTCAAGTACTCTAAAATATATTAAGTGCATCATACTATAAATTTGTTGAAAATACTTCCTTGAAGTTCTAAAATTTTGAATGATGGCTGCAGTTTACAGTATGAATTTCTTTCTTATGTTAATTATTCATGCATAAGAAAGAATGACTAAGATATTTAATTTCCAGGTCACTTATAGTTTTGGTGTCTTGATCATCACCTCAACTATTCCTTGACTGTATTAATACACAATGAGGAATTTTCAACAGATTGATAAGCACTTCCTGCATCTATTGTATGTGAAATAATAAACTATTCTTCATCTATGAATATTATGAAATCAAAAGTGAAAGGCTATAATTAATGAGAGGAATCAATTCACAAGGCGTTTCCTGCAATTTTTAAATCTGTTATGATGCTGTGAATCATTTGTCAAATAATGAAGATGAATTCTGAGTATTTCATTTATTGAGTGAAGAAATCAAAGTGGGTACCAGCATTAATTCAAAGTTATTTTTAACATTTTCCCAACAATTTCTGAGGAGGAAAATCAAGCCTGTATTAACAGCACATCATTATTCACAATCATTGTGAAAGTCCTTATATTATGCAAATATATTTCAAGAGACTATCAACATACAGGAGAGAGTTTTATTAATAGGATCTTGCTGACAACACAAAAAATGCTGAATATGTAGACTCGTATGTGAACAATCTGCTGCTATGGCGCATTCTCAGCAGTTCCAACAGTCCCTATACCCCAGTGAAAAATGCTATTGATTCCAGAAGATTTTTAGTTTTTTTTATGTTGAAGTTAGCCTTCAGTTACTACTGCTCTTCTACTGCAGTAAATGGCTTGAAATATTTAGCAAAAGGTAGCTTTCAACAATAGTGAAAAAAAAAACATCTGTGCTTTATTTTACTGCCTTGATTTTTTTCAATGCTGTAAATTGTGGCCAATTGAAGAACATGCAATGCAGAAATAGTGAACCTGAATAATAGAAAATAAGATCAAATTAATTTGAGTGCATTCAATTCATTCAGTTTTACCTACTCAAGTAAATTCTTTTCACTAAAGCTTCATATATCGCTGGATATAGAAAAATTTGATATTGTATGTTGATTTTAAAATTTTAATAAACTGAAAAGGCAATTTTTTTAGAGCCATCAGCTTTTCCTGATGGCTCTGAAATAAAGAAATTAATTGAAATCAAATACATTTTAAACTTGTCAATAGATTTGTCTTTTGTTTTCTTTTTTTGTGAGCTAGGTCATTTCTATTGTAAAAACTGCTAAATTTAATATATATATTGGAAAATTCTGGTGAAGCTTCAAAAGTTTACTAAGAAATAAAATTAACTCTGTAATACAGTACTGGTTATCTGACATGAAGTAATAATCGCCACATTATGTAATTTGCCTAATTCAAATTATTTGAAATGGATTAAAGGCAGGTAAGGCAAAGAAAATGTTGCCAAATGTAAATTAACTAAATGCCTCTGGCTACATTTTTATAAACTGAAGAATTTATGAAACTTGATGGTGGGATTGGGATTACAATCATCTATAACAGGAACTTAAAGTGTAATGAAAAGTAACATCATTTAATATGCATCAGTTTAAGAGCATCCTTTAACACTTTATTCACTTATGAAGGAGGCACACACAGCTTGGTGGATAGTTTTGTACTTAAGATGGATTCATGAAAATGAGGCTACCCAAATCTACAGGGCTACTAGTCAGTCAGTGATTCTGTCTACCTTTAAAAAATTACATCATTAAACATTATTATTAAACATTAACATCATTAGGTACATTAAAATGAAAAAAAATTTCAATGGAACATACATAGCAAATGGATCAACACATTGGCACTTTATTTACCTGATTTTTATAGCCTTGAAGGCTCCGGTTACCCAATTTTCTGGTATGCAATTCAGTCTATCATTATGCAAACATATTGCAAGAAACTTCTCACGTTATTCGTTCACTTTTGCAACCTTTTTTAGTTCATCGGCCTTGCAAAGAAAATTGAGTAAACACTCCCAGAAAATATTTTCCACCATAATTTAAAGGCAATTCTGGTTTTTGGCCTAAATTTATTACTCCTAGGAAGGAACTTTGACAGATGCAAAGTACTCTGAAATATACCCAAATATTAATTACGTATGTTTTGCTCCAACAATTTGTCATCACCTTATATCCGCTTAAAATGCAAAATAACAAGGAATTTAAAAGCAAAGAGAGCACCAAGTAAATTAACCACATCTATATTGAAAACACTTTGGAGTCCAGCTCCATTGTCAGATTGAAAATCAGTAAACTGATTTTCTGACCAGTTACAGATTTTCGAACTGACAATGGAGCTGGTCTCCAAAACGTTTTTAATATAGATGTTATCATTTACTTGGTATTCTCTTTGCTTTTAAATTCCTTGTCATCATCTTAACACTGAAATTTCTTTTTGCAACTCATCAGTCAGTGGATGGTTGGCTGAGATGCATCTCGAGTGTGGAAATAGCCTGAGGAAAAATAATCAACTCCCCCCAAAAGCCTATTAACTCATCAATTTCTTTCTTGTTATCTAGGTCTGGAATACACAATAGAAATACAAAGTGAAGCTGGGCTCCTAGTTAAATACCAATGTGTATTGTGCTTCCCCAATCAACAATGCAGCTACATTCTACCAGCAGAGTTCAGCGGGCACTTGACATCTCCACGGCATTTGAAAAGTGTTCTGGTTAGTAGTATTTTATATATGTTTTATTATAATGTGAAAATGCTACACTTGCATTGTTTTATTGATTTTCATTTTTGGTACTCAAGAATAATTTTTGGGTGAGAATTTAAACTATATCTCAGGTACTAAATTTGTTTAGTACATGAGATAGCAAGTATTTCTGGCTAGAATTTCATGGGCTCAATATTTTTCAGCATTTAAATGAAAACAAATATTTACTTTTGAAATTTTAGTCAAAAATAGACATGGTATGGAAATATTGAATGCTTGGAAGCACTTTAAAAATTTGTGATGGTGCTGATACTGCTTTGTGGTGGTTTTGGCTCTTGGCAGTGAAAGTTGCATTTAAGAGCCTTGGCCTCTATATTTATGAGCAGTTATGATGAGCCTTGGTCTCTATAGGAAACCAATGTCATAAGAAAGAATCATTTTGCTGCAAGTTTGGCAAGAAACAGGCTTGATGTATCCAATGTCTTGGAATAATGCTCGTTTTTCTGAGTTTTGTTTAAAGTATTTTTGTTTAGCCTATGCTGTGATAGTAATTTTGGACAGTAATTCGAATTATATTTAGGACATTGCTTAATGTGATGGTCTTTGCCACATATCAAACATTTTTGATGCTTTCTAGCTATCTTTCAGCAAATGATTAGGATTCTGGCAGTAGTGGCAACATTTGTCTGATGCGATGATGAAAAATTATGGTATATTTTATATGCTTCCTGGCAACAACACAAGGCTTGACCACCCAGCATCAGCATGGGATGGATAATTCCCCAAAAACATGCATCATCCTGAGTGTCGTATCCCACTTTGAAGAGAGTGGATGAATATTGCAAGATCTTTGGCGACGCTTCAGTAGCTAAATTTACGCCTTCAGAAGATCTTGCCGAAACATTTAGATTGTAATTCTTGCATTTAATATATTTGTCAGTCTTCGGCCAACTATTTAGAAAAAAAGTAAGGATTCCGGTACGTTGGATGGATCAGGATGCAGTAAAGCTTGTCCGGAAATTGGTTGCGATGAGTTCCCGCCAAACATAGTGGCAAAGCAGAAACTTTATTAGACTAGGTATTCTTCAAGTTCATTTCTGAGTCCTACGAGTAAACCAGCAAAGTAATGAAAGTATCACAATCATGGATACCAGCTTTATCATACACAAGATATTGGTTTAAATCTTGAGTGGATAAGGAAATTAAAANCATAGCATAGCCCTTATTATGACTGAGTTGCAGTGTGGTAAGCATAGCATAGCCCTTATTATGACTGAGTTGCAGTGTGGTAAGCATAGCATAATATAGCATAGTGTGGTAAGCATAGCATAGCCCTTATTATGACTGAGTTGCAGTGTGGTAAGCATAGCATAGCCCTTATTATGACTGAGTTGCAGTGTGGTAAGCATAGCATAATATAGCATAGTGTGGTAAGCATAGCATAGCCCTTATTATGACTGAGTTGCAGTGTGGTAAGCATAGCATAGCCCTTATTATGACTGAGTTGCAGTGTGGTAAGCATAGCATAATATAGCATAGTGTGGTAAGCATAGCATAGCCCTTATTATGACTGAGTTGCAGTGTGGTAAGCATAGCATAGCCCTTATTATGACTGAGTTGCAGTGTGGTAAGCATAGCATAATATAGCATAGTGTGGTAAGCATAGCATAGCCCTTATTATGACTGAGTTGCAGTGTGGTAAGCATAGCATAGCCCTTATTATGACTGAGTTGCAGTGTGGTAAGCATAGCATAATATAGCATAGTGTGGTAAGCATAGCATAGCCCTTATTATGACTGAGTTGCAGTGTGGTAAGCATAGCATAGCCCTTATTATGACTGAGTTGCAGTGTGGTAAGCATAGCATAATATAGCATAGTGTGGTAAGCATAGCATAGCCCTTATTATGACTGAGTTGCAGTGTGGTAAGCATAGCATAGCCCTTATTATGACTGAGTTGCAGTGTGGTAAGCATAGCATAATATAGCATAGTGTGGTAAGCATAGCATAGCCCTTATTATGACTGAGTTGCAGTGTGGTAAGCATAGCATAGCCCTTATTATGACTGAGTTGCAGTGTGGTAAGCATAGCATAATATAGCATAGTGTGGTAAGCATAGCATAGCCCTTATTATGACTGAGTTGCAGTGTGGTAAGCATAGCATAGCCCTTATTATGACTGAGTTGCAGTGTGGTAAGCATAGCATAATATAGCATAGTGTGGTAAGCATAGCATAGCCCTTATTATGACTGAGTTGCAGTGTGGTAAGCATAGCATAGCCCTTATTATGACTGAGTTGCAGTGTGGTAAGCATAGCATAATATAGCATAGTGTGGTAAGCATAGCATAGCCCTTATTATGACTGAGTTGCAGTGTGGTAAGCATAGCATAGCCCTTATTATGACTGAGTTACAGTGTGGTAAGCATAGCATAATATAGCATAGTGTGGTAAGCATAGCATAGCCCTTATTATGACTGAGTTACAGTGTGGTAAGCATAGCATAATGTAGCATGTAGCTTTCAATATAGGTAAGCATAGCATAGCCCTTATTATGACCGAGTTGCAGTGCGGTAAGCATAGCATAATCGAAGAAGGTTAATTGTGATGATTTCAATACATACGAGGCCAAAATTATTATGACTGAGTTGCAGTGTGGTCAGCATCGCACAATTAGCGAAGGTTAATTAGCGAAGGTTAATTAGCGAAGGTTAATTGTGATGATTAACACAAAATACACAAGAGGCCAAAATAACTATGACTGAGTTGCAGTGTGGTAAGCATCACATAATTAGTGAAGGTCTATTGTGAGGATTACGGTACAGACGAGGCAAAAAGTATAATGATTGAATTGCTGTGTGGTGAGCATCGTAGTCAATTAAGTTTAAATGCAGGGATATCGTTGATCGGAGTGAGGTCGGAAATACACATGTCTGCTGACGAAGATAAAGAAAGTAGAATTATAAATATTATTCTTTTAAATCGTATATCTTTCTTTATGTAAAATTCAAAGGACGATTATTTCCGCCACATGACTCGTGTGTATATTTAAGATTTACAAATGAATTTCTTCACGTATATAATCAGTTACGAACCGAGTTTTTTTAGTATTTATCGACTATTTTTTGTACTCATTATATATCTCCCAATTTTTTGTACACTACACAAAATATAGCATGCATATATAACAGAACTTATGTTGACTATTGGACCACATCTGACAGGGACCAATGAATTTCTTTCTAAGATATAATTTGCTGATTGATTAATTTGTATTTTTAATTCACTATTTATCACCCATATCTTTTGTACAAAATCCTGTTGACCATTGGACCAGATCTGACAGGGACCAATGAATTTTTTTTTCTAAGAGGTAATTTGTTGACCGATTAATTTGTATATTGATTGTAAGGTGTGGACTGGCTATCGTATAAAGTACATCCTTGCGCTTGTGCTTCCCCAATCAACAATGCAGCTACATTCTACCAGCAGAGTTCAGCGGGCACTTGACATCTCCACGGCATTTGAAAAGTGTTCTGGTTAGTGGTATTTTATATATCTTTTATAATGTAAAAATGCTACACTTGCGTTGTTTCATTGAAGTTCATCTACTGTACTCAAGCATAATTTTTGGGTGAGAATTTAAAGTTTTAAACTATAATCTCGGGTACTAAATTTTTTTAGTACATGAGATAGCAGGTATTTCTGGCTAGTATTTCTGGGGAGTATTTAATTGAATGAAAATACGAATAAATTAGAGTATTCACTTTTGAAACTTAGTCAAACCTGGAATAAGTATGGAAATGTTGAATACTTGGAAGCAGTTTAGAAAATTTGTGATGGTGCTGATACAGCTTTGTGGGGGTCTTGGCTCTTGGCAGTGAAAGTTGCATGTATGAGCCTTGGCCTCTATATTTATGAGCAGTAATGAGCCTTGGCCTCTATAGGAAACCAATGTTGTAAGAAAGAAACATTTTGCTTCAACTTTGGCTAGAAACATAAGCTTGGTGTATCCAATGTCTTGGAATAATGTTGGTTTTCCTGAGTTTTGTTCAAAGTATTTTTGTTTAGCCTATGCTGTGATAGTAATCTTGGACAGTAATTCAAATTATATTGAGGACATTGCTTAATGTGATGGTCTTTGCCACATATCAAACATTTTTGATGCTTTCCAGCAATCCTTTACCAAATGATTAGGATACCAGCACTAGTGGCAACATTTGTCTGATGTGATGATGAAAAATTATGGTATATTTTTATATGCCTCCTGGCAACAACACAAGGCTTGACCACCCAGCATCAGCATGGGATGCTGTGTTGGGTTCACTGCAATTTTTTCCCATTTTTTCCTTCTTTGCCCAGGTCAAGATATATATTTTTTGAAAATTAATCGTATGAAAGTAAGAGCGATTCAATATCAAGTTTCTGATATTAACTTTTGGTGAACTAACATTAACCTATAGATATGGCTTCTTCCATGATTCAAAAAGATGTAGGAGCTTAATTTTTGTGTCAGAGCTATAATATTATTTAAAAGCTCAAATTTCAGTTGTTGGGCATTTGAGAGGGGGCATTCCCAAGCATGAAATGAAGATCAAAATGTCAGCATACTGGTAATGAAGCCCCGATAACAAACTGGAGGTTGTGGTGGCAATTTGGATAGATATTTCAAGTTAACAAATATGGTGACTTGCCTGCTCATGGATTATGAGCTGAATGATTTTACAATAGTGTTGTCAGTGTATCCCCAGCTGAGGTATAGAACCTATTTATAGCAAATTATTACTGGTGTAGAAGTTAGAAGATCAATATTGTTCTACTGGTATTATGAGTTTCTAACATTCAGAATGGGACAAGAAAAGGGATGTAACTTGTTCAGTATAACTTTTCCTAACTAAATTTGTAGCAGATGCCCATTAAATTACTGTGTCTTGAAATTAAAGCATTTATCAAAGAGGACTGTAATGCAAACATTGAAATTAGGGCAATTGAAAATTGATCAAGATGCAAGCCTGAATTAAGGGGGACAATATGTACATAGTCATGAATAATATGGAAAAATTAGTCCCATAAATTAAAAAAAAATAATTGAAATCCCTGTTTCTGGATAAACTTCAAACATCTTGATCTGATTGGCATTAGGACCAAATATATTGTGAAAGACCTCCAAAACTTCAAATAAGACAATGTAATGCAATTTTTGACATCTGGCTTGAAAATGGCTTGAAATGATAAATGGCTTGAAAATGCTCTGAGTTTATGTTCTGCTACAAACCAAAATGCCTCTAGCCATAAGGCAAGAATCGTCATGACCTTATTGGAAGTAAATGAAATTGCTGAGATAAAATTGCCAGTCACAAACTAAACTTGGATCTTGTGGGTATTGTGCACATGATTAGTGGTGAAGAGACTCGGGGAAAACAAAAACTCTTAAACTGAAATGCATTGATATGTGCAATTCAGTATTCACTACTACAAGAATGGGAGGGAATTGTGGTCAAATTTTGCAATGCAGGCGTTACTGGAAAATGGCCTGTTTGCTGAAGTTTAGTTTTTGCCCAATTCTTTTTACATAATCACCCATTTCACACATCATTGATACTTTTTGAAGTCTGGGTACACTAGTTTCATGTGAATTGGATTTTTTTGAAAATTTTAATAAAATCTCCTTTCTTAGTTTAGTTTCTTCACTATGACCTAATCTAAATTCTCCTGCAACTTTAATTACAATTCATACATGAATAATTGATGAAATGATTGTCAACATTTCTTCCATTGCTGCGCAAGATGAATTAAGTTTAGTAAATAAATATTCACAATATATTGTGATAAATATTACCCGAAATATTCTTATATTCATCCTGGATAAGAAAGGAATATGTGTGAATGAGTTTAAGAAGTTATTTCTTTTCATATGAAAAGAGTTGGGATATTGCTTTACTTGGATTTGTATAATCTTTGACCACATAAATTTAGTTCCAATTTACCCCACAGCTATTGAACAACATAAAGGCTTACAGAGAACTACAGTTTTCAGAGGACAGTAAAGTTCTCAGAAGCAAGTTAAAAGAGGTTAGTTTCTATAATTTTACAAATTTATAAAATTAAAGAGGCATAATCATTGTTGATTTCATGAAATTATTTATTTCGGGAATGAGTCTACATTGTAAAAAGTTGATTCATACATTGAATTTAGCTTTGAAATTATATATAATTATCTTGATTTTTATTTCAGTGTTTAGTTGGTACTGATGGCACAAGTGCTATTGCCAACTTCTCAAATCTTTCCAATGTTTTCAAGAAAATCCGTCACGATATTGAAAAGCATAAATCCCTCTGCCGGTGAGTTGATGGAACATCATTGTGCAACCTACCTGCCTTATGTATGGTTTTACAAATCATACATACATTTATTTAGATAAACCACATTTTAATATTGGTTTAAATTTTTACTTCTGGTTCAATTGACTAGTGACCCATTTTTTAGAGAATTGTTTTAAGAGCAAATTTACAATTTTTTCTGATTGCATTTTTTGTATTATTGTATTTTATTTGCAACAATGCCGGTTAGTGATAACTCTATTATTCAACTTAAACTTTGAGTTTATGCCATTCCAATGAACTGAATAAAATTGAGTATTTTATACCAATATGGCAGTGATTGATACATTTCTACTCATAGGGAGAAACTCATTGCGACTGAGGAAAAAGTACAGAACAGCATCAAGCGTTCAGTTTTATCACGCCTGTCACCTCGGACAACTGATGTCAACTCCTCAGTTTCTCTGGGTCCAAAGGCAATTGAAAAATCGGCTTATGAAATCAATTTCAAGGATGCCAAGGATATTTGTGTTAAAACCGAGTTGAGTTCAGAACTGCTCAAGAAGGCATCTGGTCCATCTTTTGCAACTAGTGATCCAGCAGTTGGAATATTCAAGAATGTCATTGACCCAAACACTGCTCAAATTCTTCAGTCTTATGTAAGTAAAAATATATATTATATTATATATTCAGATTATTATAAAGTTTTGCCTCTACATTGAATATTTACTATCTCAATACCTATTGTAAAAACTCTTGCTGATTAGTTATTTTCCAAACGGCACTCCGTATCTTGGATTAATTGATGATGTCAAATGTCATGTCAAATTCAAATTCCTCCAATGGTTGCTTTTATCTGAAGCTAGTAATATTTGTGCAAAATCATCATTTAATTTTGATCTTATTGAGGCATATTGCAGCACATTAGAAAATAAGCCTATATTATTATAAAATAAGCTTATGCATAAATTTGGATGTTATTTCTAGGTTGGAGATCATGTGAAGAAAATCATTAGGGGAATTATGTGCAGAAAATTTTATGAATGATTTAAATTTATTCACAATTCACAAAACATTTACCGATACTCGTTTTATAAAAAATATACTCTAATCTTAACACTATATTAACTGAAAGACTTAAGTTTATAATGTAATTTGTGTAATATGTATACTAATAGATTAAATGTTTTCTTGCAGTTGGATATTGCTGAGACAACACAAGAAGCTGATGAAGTTACCCAGAGCAAAAATTCTTGCTCTAATCTTCCATCATCTTCAAAACAGCAACAGGCTTCAGTTTTTATGATCCCTGAACCACCTCAAGCTCAATATCCAAGATCACTGAAAAGTTTAAGTTCAATTTCTGAGCCTCATCCACGTTCTTCTATGATTGAAAGTATTCAAGAGTCGTTTGCTTCCGACTCGTCGTTTGACTGGAATTATCCCTCGGGTAGATATCGCACTCATGAGTCAGCTGCATATCCTGAGCGTGAAGAAAGATGGGGTGCAGTGGAGAGAAGGCCTCTGGGAGTACAGCCTTGGTCAGCTCCATATGCCAGACATCAGCCAACATCTGCAAGACAGCAGCTAACTCATCAGGACAGACGATCGCTAATGACTGATGCTAGATATGCAAAGTCAAATCCGCTTACTTTTTCCAATGCAAATCCATTTCATACTCCTGATTATCAAGCCAGAGCATCTGCAACGCATGCATCAACTGCTCCTATGTCTCTTCTCTTCAACCCTTTGTCGCGGGTGTTCCGCAAGTCTGATGCCCGTAAATCTGATGCAGATACCAAGGAGTCATTGATGCCACCTTCAGTAACATCTACAGAAGAGAAGACACTTCATAAAAAGAAAAAAATTAAACCTCAGATCTCTTCCCAGTTCTGCATCTCAGTGAGCAACATCCCAGCATCCATTTCTATCATGCTCATAAAAAACATGGCATCGATTTGCAACAATTTATTGAATTGCAATCTCTCTGCAAATGCCTCAGGTAATTTTCAAGTTCTTGACAATATTTTGGGACAAAATTTGAATGGTTTAAATTATTACATTTTTATTATCTTGGGTAATACTGTATTATTTTTGGCAACTATTTGTCTCTATTTTTTCTTACTAATCATGCAAATTGACCATTTTATCAAGTTTTGTTGTAATGTTTTTAAATCCACTTATGAATTACCTACACCAGAAATGTAATCTATTTTGCTAGTGCATTTGGAGTAACTGGTGTCCGACATTCGTTACTTTGTAACAATTATAATTTGAAATTTTTTGCCAGGCACTGCAGTGCTTTTCTACAAGAATTTGGAGAGTGCAGTTCTTGCTGGCAGGATTTTCTCACAGCTTTTCATGGCTAATCAGCGGCTGGTAATAACTGCAGCCGCGNAGACCAAGAGAATGAAAGCAAACAGAGATCAGTAGCTGCCAAAAAATTATTTTCTACTTTTGAGTCCACATGAAAAACGTGGTCTTTGAAAAATTTTTTTATACATTTTATTTTTATTATTCTACAGGGAAAGGAAAAGGAGCTAAGTAGCATTAGTGCACTGATACATTCATGTGTGAAATAATTTACTTTATATGTACGTATTAAATCTTACCTTATATTTTTTTTCAAAACCATCAATACCTTATGTGTATCTATGGTTTCTGAAATGTGTACGATAGGTATTTTTGGACCTATAAAAGCTATTTTTTTGGACACTAGTTTCCTTTTGTTTATGAACAAGAAGAGTTTGAAATTATTTGAAATATCATTAGCACACGTCTGGTAAGCCATACTTCAGTTATTTTGATTAAGTTCATTCATGAGCTGTTGTTGATGGTTCTTTTGATAAAAATCAGTTACATTTTTAATAGGATTAATACTTGCTGACATTCCAGAGCCGCAAGACAACTCCAATGATAAGAAGTTGGAAGAAGTTGCTCGGAATCGAATAAGCTTGGCATTGCGGAACCAGCATGTGATCTATCGCTGGAGTGAGTATTAAGCCTTATTTCTTTAGTTTGTCGAGGTTATATATAATATCTACAGAAAAGACAAGTAACTTGATTACAGTTACTTGGACTTATAATTGAATTTTGAAAATTTTGTGCAGGATTTGAGTTTCATTTGATTGCTTGCTGCTTGTATTGGGTTATGTTTTCAAAGTTTTTTAACTGAAATGAATGTGTATAATATTGGATGGAATTTTGGTGAACAAGTAAGTCAAGTATTGTTTAGTGAAATGCATTCATGTAACTTATTGAGTGAAGGATGAAGAAGAGATGTCAGATTCTTACAACTACAAGACCTGATGTTGTGTACCCATATCTCTTGCAGTAATTTAAGAACTGTGCTGTGTATTTGTTGCCAATTCATGAATTTTATGCTTTCAGATCTTACACAAGTCAAAATTCAAGTTTTAGATGCAGCCAAAATCAAGGTGCGTACCTATAAATTACTACTTCTGCTGTTTTTTGGAAGTTGAATTGCATCTCGTTCATAATCATGCTTGAGAATACCTCGTGGAATGAATTGAACATCAGTTTTTTTACTTGCCCACTCATTCAAATTGAATGTAACGATTTATTTGATTTCAGCTTGAGTCAGAAGAACTTGCCAAGTCTGAACAGTTTGGGTCATCCGTGGATGAGACTGTTTCTGGCGCCGCCACTCCAGCACACACTGGGGCCGCAACAGCCCAAGAAGGTGCCTCTACGGCCCAAAAAAGCACCACTTTGACTCAGGAAAGCGCCATCTCGGATCAGAAGGAAATCATTTCGACTCAGGAAAGCGCCATCTCGGACCAGAAAAAAATCATTTCTACTCAGGAAAGCACCACTTCGGACCAGAATGGAGCTACCTTGACTCAGGAAGAAGCCTCTGAGGCTGAGAAAGAAGCCATTATAGCCCATAAAGAAGCCTCTTCAGCTCAAGAAAAAGCCTCTTTGGTGGAGCAAAAAGCCACTTCGGGTCAGCAAGGAGCAACTGTGGCACAGGGAGACGGGGTGGCACCTTCTAAATCTGAAGAGTGTGAACAAACAGTTGACGAGGAAGCTATTGATACGTGGCGACAGATTGTATCGGTCTCGTCTATCCTTGGGAGACTCAAGGAACGGGGTGCTCCTGTCTTCACTCCTGATAGCAAGTCAGACTCAGAAATTAAAGCTTCCTTAAAAACAGGAGAGAATTTAACAACTGCTCCTGCTGTTTCTCCGAAGCATGAAACAGAAAACCCAGGCATTTTTATGCCAGGAACAAATGATACTGATCATCCAGATGACTATTCAGCGTCTAGAAGCTCTGCTATTGAAGGAATTTCCTCCATGCTTAATATCGATCAAACTCCTACTACTCCTATCAAGGATTATGCTTCAAAGCCTGATACTTTTACACAGTTTGCAGAACCAAAATGTACATCAATTCCAGATCCACCTTCTCTTTCCTCCTTGGATGCTACCATTTCAGGTGCACTGAAGAATCCTTCTTCTCCAAGTCAATGTAAAAATGTTCATGGCCAAAATGATACTCAATCTCCTCGTGATGCTCTCAAAGAAGCAAACATGTACGACTTAAGTAAGCATGTTGTCGGACCAATCATAACTTCAACGTTCCTCATAAAGGACAGTGAATTTCCTGAAGTTGATCATTTCTTGCTATCGGATCAGTCACGACTTTTGTCCGCAAGATCTCTGCAGGAGCGGATATCGGTGACGTTAACACCACCACAAATGCCAAGTGTAAATCACCCCTCAACTCCTGCCGTGCAAGAAGTGGTTTTGCAGTGCAAGAGCGAAGGCTACACGTTGCACTTAGCTTGCAGCAAAGCAAATGAAACGATAGAAAAATTCATCATGCAAGTATTGGAGCCATTGCTTATAGCTGATGAAACTCCTATCTACAAAACCGGTGTAGGTAAGAAATGCAACCACGAGCTCAAGTTATAAATTACTTGAGTAATTAAATTATTGTACTATGTGTTTGTTCACATGCAAATCAAATTTTTTGTTTGTAAATTTCAATTCTATGGTATTGTGGAGCAATGATTGTATTGTGTACCCTAGAGCTATTATTTTAATCCTGCTAAATGGCTTATGCACAACTGCCGTTATGTCTGAGATTTTTGAATTGAGGACAACAGTTAACAAAATTTTTGCCCTCATTTTGTGTCCTGAATTTGTGATATAGCTGGACTTCTTGCTTTTGTTGCTTTCAAATATTTTTGCTTCTAAATGCTTATTTTATTCTATCACGAAACACAATTTTTCAAACCTTTGATTTTAGTATCTGTCTCTGACTTGATATTTTATATTATTTCAAAGCCATGATATAGTATATTTTTGTTGAGAATAGTTTTCAACCTCCCATCATTCCTAGCATATACATTTCTATTAATAAAAATTAGTTATTGTTCTCTAATTGGAGTTGATAAGACCTTTTTTGTTTTTCGTCACATCTTTTATTATTCTCTTAGAGGAGCATTTGAAGATTTCCTGTTATCCATCAAGATTGAAATTCAACCTAAAATTTGTCTTCATTACTAAGCATCAATCTGTCATTTTTCTCCTATCCGAAGCCCCTTTTTTGGCCAGATTCTAAGCTCTGTGAGAATAGTATAAGTATTTATAAGCAGGTGTAAGTATAATATAAGTATGTATAAGTCATGTTATTGATACTGTGCTGCAGGTTGGAGCTCTGTGAGAATAATATAAGAATTTGCAGTGAATATATTTGGAGGGGTGGAAGTAAGCGACACTACTTGTAAACAGTCGGTATTGCAGAGTAAACAGTCGGTATTGCCTTGAGGATATTGCAGAGAATATATAAACTCTGTGAGAATAATATAAGTGTTTATAGGCAGGTATAAGTATAATATAAGTACCGTATGTATAAGTCGTGTAATGAATGCTTTGCTGCAGGTTGGTTTGCACGTGCCGGCACCCAGGCCACTGCCGTGGCAGCTGCACTGCTCTACGATGTTCGGCTCCTTGATGCCGTCGTCACAGCCACGAGCCTCTTGCCGCCAACAGGTTACTGCCAAAAAATATATAAAATAAAATAATAATATTTATATTATTATTTAAATTTTGTTTATTTATATTATTATTAAATAAAATAATATTTGTATAAACTCCGAGATTTGTAACTATCAATACCTTGTAACCTTAGTATTTGTTTCAGACTTAGCAGTCCTACGATGAAACCCTTGAGGTAATAATTGCAATTATCATAAACGTAACTTGAACCATTGAGTCAATAGATAGTTGCAATTATCGTAAACTTAACTTGAACCCTTGAGGTAATAATTGCAATAATCATAAACTTAATGTGAACCATTGAGTCAGTTTATAATTGCATTTAGCATAACCTTACTGTGAAGTTTATTAAACACGAATGAGAAAAAAAAACATAAACCTAGGTGTGTCTTGCTCTTTAAAGCCGTTTGCAACACACAAAATATGATCTTTTAACCTATCTTTGAATATCATTCACGAGTTAGCTGTAAGTGAATAACATCTCATGCATTACTTCTGCCTACAGACGGCTGTGTGACGGTAGGTACAGCAGTGCTGAGGGCTCAGTGTGCCATGCTGCGCTCCCACGTCGAGCTCTACAACGCACACGTCGCTGCCCTTATTATGACTGAGTTACAGTGTGGTAAGCATAGCATAGCCCTTATTATGACTGAGTTGCAGTGTGGTAAGCCTAGCGTAGTAAATTAAGTTAATTGCAGCGATATCGTTACAAGTGAGGTCGAAAGTACAAATGTGGGCTGACGAAGTTGAAGTAAGTGGAATTATGAATTTTGTTTTAAATTATATATCTTTGTGTAAAATTCAAAGGACGATTATTTCCGCCACATGACTCAACAGTATACTAACGATTTTTAAATGAATTTTTTCACATATATAATAAGTTATGAATAGAGTTTTTTTAGTATTATATCGAAGATTTTTTGTATTCATTATTTATATCCCAATTTTTTTGTGCACAATCCTGTCGAACATTGAATCACATCTGACAAGGGTGTTTACCAATGAATTTTTTAAAGATATAATTTGTTGACCGATTAATTTGTATATTGATTGTATTATCTATACGTCAAGAATCCCGTTGTGCTTTTCCAATAATCAGCAGCATCACATTTACAAGTGAAAATACAGTTTTTGATGAATGTTAATGTTCATCTTTAAATTGAAGCTTATTTGTTATTTCGAGTAGTTTAAGTTTATAATACTAATTATAAAGCAAGAAATGCATTTTTTTTTCACTCATTTTCATTAAATTATTTGGTATGAAGAATCTGTTGTGCGTAAGATAGCATTACAATTGGAAAAAATTTGTACAACTAATTATAATTATTTTTAATAATGAAAAATAAATTTTTTGTTTAGAATTATTTTTTCAGAATTTATTCTATTTTTACCGATATTGCTTGTTTTCTCTGCAGGCCCAAGCTTTGCCCAACCAAGGAGTGCTCTAGCCAACCGAACTTATGTCCGCACAGCCGGAATGTGGTTGAACACTTGCTGCATCCGAGCAATTTCCTGCAGCAACTCTGCACCAAACGAGACAAAAGCGGACGCTGCCTCAAAACTCAGCCATGCGCTGCTATGCATCCAGGTGTGATCTATTTGTGAATTTCAAGTGTTGATTACTTCCTTGAATTTTAGTTAATAAACTGACCAGGGTCATGCCTTCAGGTATATGAGCATTGTAACTTCTATATATTTCATTGTTATAACCGGTAGTGAAAGCTTAGTGGTCGAAGAAAAGGTGCGTTCAGAATGAACAAGTTCAGAATTTTAAGCTACAGTGCGTGCATCAGAAGTTTGTATTTCTTTTCTGCGTTTTGTGAAATGTATAATTTGACAACNATTCTTGGGTTAAGTTTGTTTTCTCTTGGTTGTTCTCATGCCTTCCTTGTTAGTTTATTAATTAAATCTCCAGAGCTTAATGTAGACGTGGACGTTATATCTACATTTTGGCGAAGTTGTATTTTGTTGAGTCTCGTTGCTCATGTATTAATTTTCTGTATCATGCAAATTCACTATTACTCTCAAATTGAAAGTAGGTATAAATAATTGCATTTTTCTTAAGGGAATTCTTGTACTTTGTATTCTTATAAATTAGTCCTTATAATTCCCTTGATGAAAGTTAAAGTCATGCTAATTTTCGGCAGTTTGGCAATTTATGCAGGCAAACCACTACGCTATTATCAGTTATTCTCAGCAATGTGAAGTTTATAGTAAGTAAAGTTTTTACAGAGACCCGTGGTTGTGAAATGAAGTAACTCGGTTGATTTCAAACACGAAATATTTTTGTTTATTGCAGGGTCGCCAGATATATTTTATTTCACTGGCTTCAACGATCTTTACCTGACGGGGCTCGAGAAAAGCTTCATCTTCCTTGCTGGGGCCATAAGATCGCTCTTCAAAATCAGAAAAAGTTAGTATTATTTTCATGATTCATTTGGGAACTTCAACTCCCTTTATTGACTCGGCTGTAGATCGGTCGCATTGTAACCAGTATTAATTTATCTGATATAATTTTCAATTTAACTTACATGGTCGACTAATTCAGCTACCTATCTTTTGATATTTTTGATTAATTTGTTGTTGAAAACGTGTAAGTGTTATTGTAAAGTATTGTGAAATATTTGAACATTGTTTTTATACAATGTTATCCTGATACTTCTCTCAAAATTGATGCGAAAATGAAATTAAACTACTACATATCAGGTATGCATCATATTTGTCTAACTAAATTTGATATACAGCAGATCTAAGTTTGGCCAGGACGCTGCGGGTGCTTTTCCTCACCCCTGAGGCGGCGGTGGCCGAGGCAGCCGCTAAACTCGTCAAGCCCATCGCTGAACTGCACGACGTGACCGTGTCTAGACATGGCAGAGGTGAGGCAGACCATGACGTGACCGTGTCTAGACATGGCAGAGGTGAGACAGACCATGACGTGACCGTGTCTAGACATGTCTCTTATACACATCTAGATGTGTATAAGAGACAGTCTTTATGCCTCTGATGTCCGCACCATCATGAACAAGATATTCTCGTACAGGAGCAAGCCTCGTGAGTCTTGTGTCAAGTCGAGGTTGTTGTGATAACTGTGATTCTTAGGCAAAAAGAACCGTATTTGTCTTCCGTGTGGTATTACTGCCTCTGATGTCCGCACCATCATGAACAAGATATTCTTGTACAGGAGCAAGCCTCGTGAGTCTTGTGTCAAGTCGAGGTTGTTGTGATAACTGTGATTCTTAGGCAAAAAGAACCGTATTTGTCTTCCGTGTGGTATTACTGCCTCTGATGTCCGCACCATCATGAACAAGATATTCTTGTACAGGAGCAAGCCTCGTGAGTCTTGTGTCAAGTCGAGGTTGTTGTGATAACTGTGATTCTTAGGCAAAAAGAACCGTATTTGTCTTCCGTGTGGTATTACTGCCTCTGATGTCCGCACCATCATGAACAAGATATTCTTGTACAGGAGCAAGCCTCGTGAGTCTTGTGTCAAGTCGAGGTTGTTGTGATAACTGTGATTCTTAGGCAAAAAGAACCGTATTTGTCTTCCGTGTGGTATTACTGCCTCTGATGTCCGCACCATCATGAACAAGATATTCTTGTACAGGAGCAAGCCTCGTGAGTCTTGTGTCAAGTCGAGGTTGTTGTGATAACTGTGATTCTTAGGCAAAAAGAACCGTATTTGTCTTCCGTGTGGTATTACTGCCTCTGATGTCCGCACCATCATGAACAAGATATTCTCGTACAGGAGCAAGCCTCGTGAGTCTTGTGTCAAGTCGAGGTTGTTGTGATAACTGTGATTCTTAGGCAAAAATAACTGTATATGTCTTCCGTGTGGTATTACTGCCTCTGATGTCCGCACCATCATGAACAAAATATTCTCGTACAGGAGCAAGCCTCGTGAGTCTTGTGTCAAGTCGAGGTTGTTCTGATAACGGTGATTCTCAGGCAAAAATAACTGTATATGTCTTCGGTGTGGTATTACTGCTGCCGATATCCGCACCATCATGAACAAGATGGTGCGAACCCTACCACCGGTTCGTTTAGACATAGAAAAAAAGCGGTACCATTTTTAATTGTGTCAAATATTTTAACGAATTGCCCAATGAGTTCAAACAAGATTGCTCTAAAATGTTTTTAAAAATAAAATACCGTGATTTTATCCTTAACCAGTATTAATTTGACTTCGATTATTATGCAAGTTTTTTGGTATTTTGACTAGATGTTTATAGTTGTACTCTGTTTTACTAAGTGTGATGTTGACATTGCCTCTTTTTTGCTGATTTTTCTGCTATAACATACGGTTATCAGTTTTTAAGGCTTTTGTCAATGGTTTTGCTAATTTTATAAATTTTTTACTTATTTGTTCAAATCGTCGTCTTGTTATCATTGGAATTGAGTCATGTACCTATTGTTTTGCCTGCGAAGCTTTTTTAGCTTATGGGCATTCACCTGGAAGCCTTGCTATTTTATTTCACGTCTCTTTTTATTTTTTCATTGTAACGTGTGCTCCTGTGTGAATAAATAAATAAATCAAATCAAGATATTCTCGCACAGGAGCAAGCCTCGTGAGTCTTGTGTCAAGTCGAGTTTATTGGGATAACGGTGATTCTTAGGCAAAAAGAACCGTATTTTTCTTGAAATGGTCTTCCGTGTGACCTTTATGTCTCCGATGTGCGCACCATCTTAAACAAAATATTGTCGTACAGGAGCAATCCTTTTTAGTCTTGTGGCTTTTCTATTAATCTCAGTCTAATCTGTCCTCTGTTGTGTAGCAAAAGAACTGATTGGTCAATGTCATTGTATTTGGTTAACAGGTGGTGTGTGCAGCGTGCTGGTTGCCAGCAATGCTGCTCAGTCTGTGGTGAACAGCCCGGCTCTTAACGCCGCTCACGAACTCTACGGCGTGCTGCATTTTGCTCACAAATTCTCAATTTCAGGCACCCTGGGTGAGTAAAGAAGCAATTCAGCTAACTTGTAATTTTAATTTGTGCAAATATCTTTATCTTCAAGAAATCCTAGTATTGGCAGTCTATAAGTATTAATTATTTATCGTAAAAATTATACTATTTATCTTGTATTAGAAATAAGCTCGCAAAAATTTGGTGTGTTTTTCATATAGGTAATTTTTATTTTTGTATGTTTCTGGAAGCCAGATGAACCTGGATTTTGAACACCTGCAAATTTGCCATTCATAACTCCTTTTTAATTTGCATGCTCGTAATTTGTTCTCACTTTATTATTATTATTACTATGATAATTTACTCAGGCATCCCGGGATCTGGTGAATTGTTCCGTGTGCCGCGATACTGGAACATCTCCAGCGAAGCTGGGGCTGCAACAAACGCAGATCCAGAACAAAGCTCTGCTACACTTTCACCGGAGCCGAAGGCGCAGCTCAAAAAGTCGGTACTGGACCAGCTCCTGCAGTTTACTGGAGAAGCGCCCACGACGAATGAACAGAAATCACTGACAATGGAGAATACGCACGTGGATCCTAAGCAAAAACATGAGTCGCCATCTCACGGAAGTCGGGCATCTAGCGAGATGCAGCATGAAAATTCACGTCATGATGTGGCGGTACTGAAGCGGCCATTCTCAGCCATAAATGCATACGAGGAGGAAGAAAAAACGAACGTGGAATCTTCTAGAGAGAAGTGTGCGAGGTTGGATGGTGGTGTCACCAAGATGGTATCTCGAGAATCACACAAACTGAATGATATCAGCAAAAATATAACTGCGACGCCGACCTCAAATAAACTACAATCACCACGCACGTCGAGAGAAACTAAAAGTTCGTCAAGTAGCACAGATGTGCCGGTCTTTGAAAATAAAATTAGGGATAAATTTTCGTATCGTGGCTATGACGAACGGAAAGAAAGTCCGTCTGGCTATTGGCGAGGGTCTGGCGTCGGACGGGGTGTCAGCGGTGGGCGTGGGTCGAGCGCTGGACGTGGAATGCTGGATAAATTTTCCCGTCAACCCTTCGGGCACAAAGGTCATCCTTGGGATAGCGAAACGGATAATGTTAAAAACGTGCAGGATTTTGATGGTCGTAGTCAACTACCGATGGGTCATGAAGGATTGCCGAAATTTTCGAAAGACTATGGGCATGGATTGAAGAATCTCGGAAGAGATTTTGAACAGGGAAGTAAGCGAAAATTTGGGTTTGAAGAAGATGCTCAACAATTTAATCGCGCTGGGTTACAGGAATCCAGTCTTGAAAGAAACGAGTCATTTAGTCGCAGAGGTCATGATCAAAACAACCAATTTGATCCTCGACCCGTCAGTTCAGCAACACGTGGCCGTGGAGACAGTATGGACGTCGATATGAGGTCATTAGGGGGTGAAGTGCCGCAACTGTGTAGTAAAAGAGACAAAAATTTCCGCCAATTTGGCCATGAAAAGATGCAGCACTTCAACAATGAACAAGATCGCCAACTGTCGAGCCGTGGAGGTCACAAACCGTTTATCAACACTGAATATGAATTACAGCAATTTGGACGTGGCAGTCAAAAAGAGTCTTGCGACCGAGGACAAAATTCTAGGCTGTTTGGCCGTGAAGGTGAGAGCCATTTTGACAACAAAGTAAACGATGTACCAGACGTTGATCGTGGAGGTAAACGGCAGTTTGGAAACAGAGAACGAGAAACATTTGGACGCGGCGGCCATTGGAAATTTGGTGGTGGAGGTAAACAACAGCTTGACAACAAGGAACGTGATTTCCAACCGTTCGGCCGAGGAGATCAGCGTCCATTTGATGATAAAGAAAAAGATTTTCAACCGTTCGGCCGTGGAGGTCAGCGCCCATTTGGTGATAGAGAACAAGAGTTGCAATCGTTCGGCCGAGGAGGTCAGCGTCCATTTGATGATAGAGAACAAGAGTTGCAACCGTTCGGCCGAGGAGGTCAGCGTCCATTAGGTGATAGAGAACAAGAGTTGCAACCGTTCGGCCGTGGAGGTCAGCGTCCATTTGATGATAGAGAACAAGAGTTGCAACCGTTCGGCCGTGGAGGTCAGCGTCCATTTGATGATAGAGAACAAGAGTTGCAACCGTTCGGCCGGGGAGATCAGCGGTCGTTTGGTGATAAAGAACAAGATTTTCAACCGTTCGGCCGTGGAGGTCAGCGTCCGTTTGGTGATAGAGAAAAAGAGTTGCAACCGTTCGGCCGTGGAGGTCAGTGTTCATTTGGTGACAGAGAAGAAGATTTACAACCGTTCGGTCGAGGAGGTCAGCGTTCGTTTGGTGATAAAGAACAAGATTTTCAACCGTTTGGCCGTGGAAGTCAGCGTCCGTTTGGTGATGAAGAACAAGATTTTCAGCCGTTCGGCCGTGGAGGTCAGCGTCCGTTTGGTGATGAAGATTTTCCACCGTTTTGCCGTGGAGGTAAAACACACTTTGATGGCAGAGAACCTGAACTGCCTGCATTTGGCCGTGGAGGTAAACAATTTGGTGAAAAAAGACAAGATTTGCCACCATTTGGCCGTGGTGGTAAACAATTTGGTTGCAGGGATCAAGATTTGCCGCAATTCGGTAGGGGAGGTGAAACGCAATTTGGCAACAGAGAACAAGATGTTTCATCTTTTGGCCGTGGAAGTAATCAACGATTTGGAAAGAAAGAACAAGACTGGCCTCCATTCGGCCGCGAAGATGATCAGCTATATGAAAGCAGAGAACGAGGTTTGCCATCATTTGGCCGCGAAGGTAATCAAACAGTCGAAAACAGAGATCAAGATTTGCGATCATTTGGCCGCGGAGGTAATCAAACAGTTGGAAACAGAGATAAAGATTTGCCACCATTTGGTCGCGAAGGTAATCAAACAGTCGAAAACAGAGATCAAGATTTGCGATCATTTGGCCGAGGAGGTAATCAAACAGTTGGAAACAGAGATAAAGATTTGCCACCATTTGGTCGCGGAGGTAATCAAACAGTCGAAAACAGAGATAAAGATTTGAGACCATTTGGTCGCGGAGGTAATCAAACAGTCGGAAACAGAGATAAAGATTTGCCACCATTTGGTCGCGGTGGTAATCAAGCAGTTGGAAACAGAGATAAAGATTGTAGACCATTTGGTCGCGGAGGTAATCAAACAGTCGGAAACAGAGATCAAGATTTGCCACCATTTGGTCGCGGAGGTAATCAAACAGTCGGAAACAGAGATCAAGATTTGCCACCATTTGGCCGCGGAGGTAATCAAACAGTCGGAAACAGAGATCAAGATTTGCCACCATTTGGTCGCGGAGGTAATCAAACAGTTGGAAACAGAGATCAAGATTTGCCACCATTTGGTCGCGGAGGTCAGCGGCTCCCCTGCAGCGGGTTTGACGGCAAAGAACAGAATTTGGTAGCCAACGAAAGTCGAACTCTACGAGGTATTGGAAATGAAATGCTTCCTTTTGGAGGCAAGAATCAGAAGCCCGTCGGTGTTGAAACTGATGTCCAACCATTTAATGGTGTGCGAAGATTAGCTGAAGATCAAAGCAATGATTCATTTAGTTTTGGACCCGACCAACAGGTTGGTCCTAAAAGCTGGGCTGGTAAACCATTAAGTCGTGGAGCCGGGGAGCATCTAGTTCCTGACAACGGTGCAATGGCCAATAATGACCAAAATAAGCGGTTTAAAAATGATGAACCTGCGTTTGGTCTTCGAGGGTGGCAAGAGTTTGGTCAAAATGAAGGTCAGCGACAGTTTCATTACGAAAATTATGATCAACCAATGGGGCGAGGCGGTCAACTGAAGTATGGCGAGGGGAATGAAATGCGACATCGAAGTGGGGTGCAAGCGTCTGTCTTGAAGAAACCTGAAATATTCGGCCATGAAAGCGATACAATGTTAGATAAGAATTCCGAAACCAACTCAGCGCAAGCCTTCGCGAAAATTGATCAGCAAAGCGGTAGTGCCCTTGTAAAGCAACAATTTGGCCGAGATTCTTCCCAAAGTCGCCTCACTGCAACAACAGTGAATGCAACGCAAGATCCTCAGCGTATTGAAGATAAGAGCCTGCAAGCTTTTGGAACTGTGGGTGATATTTCTGCTCAAGGGAGATCGCTTTCAAGTTGTGTTGATCGATTTGAAACTAGCGGGACTGTTGAACACCAATCTACAATACAAGAACTCCTGGAAAGGGAACACGCGTCTCTGTGTGGAACTGAAGGTGGAACCAATGCGCCACTCGAAGGTGGCACAAATGGGAAGAATAATTATGCTGCTGAAGTACAGAAGTTAGGCTCAAGTGACACCAATGTAGCTTTGAATGGCACATTGGCTGAATCGCAAATTGAATTGAAGCCTCTAAGCAAACAACATAACAGGAATGTTTCTGCACCATCCTCGAACCCAACGTCATCTGGTGATCATAACATCGCGAGAAGACCACCACCAACATGCGCACCGCCAGCTGTCCAGCAGCCTTTGTCTGCTGCACCCGAGTCTTTCTGGCCTTCAGCGGGTCCACCTCCACCCACTGGACCAGCAACGGGACTTGCTGCTTCGTTAAATGCTTCGACATCCATATCTAGTGACTTCAGTATGGCAAGTGCTCTTCAAGCGCTTGAAACATTCGCCCCGTATTTAAGTCATTTATCATCAGCTCTCGGCGCTCTTATTGCAGTCACTCGCAACCGAGGTACAGATACTCTTGAAGCCTGCAAATTTCTTGTGCATGAAGACCACGTTAATCTTATAAACTTGTGCTTGGCTGATGTAGACTCTCAGTTAAAGTACATACCTCCCGCACACAGAGGTAAAGTACGAGCTGACATTCGTTTGGGCGAACGATTGCTTGAACACGCGCGAGAAAGAGTATTCAAAAGCACACAAAAAAGTGATGTCGCAGCATCCTCTCTCGATACCTGGCCTCCAGCGAACATGTCAGCTAATGATGCCCAGAGTTTCTCTGGCGGTCCTCGAAACCTGCCTACGGAAGGCCATAATAATACTGAAGGCCCAAGGACCAGCACTGATTCAAGAATTCACAACGCAGTTCTCTCGGCTATAATGAAATGATCAAAATGTTTAAGACGAATTAAATTTTGATTGAAGTCAAGACCTCAGCTAAATCAATAATTTGGAATAGAGATGCAATCTAATTGTATTTTTAGGTCGGCTGAAATATTTTTCTAACAAGAAATGTGAAATCCTGCGATGAGACTTGGCGTCTGTCGCCAACGTGAAGACAATGAGGTTGCCGTAACTATTTAAGGCTTTAGTTTAGAGACACCGATAATTCGCCATGGATATCTGTATTTGAGTGTAATTGTTATGTAGGTAGGATTCCTTGCAATTTTTTTCCGCCTCACGCTTGCAGGTGGCTAACATAATGTGCAAGCTTGTCCGAGATTTCGGGTTTTTATGCCTCATTTTGAATGAGCACAGCTTCAAATTTGTGGCAATGCGTGCCTGTTCTAAATTCTTGCTTTCGAAGTTAGGAATTCGATTGAGTAAACGGAAATATTTTACTGTCAATGCTTCGCTCGGAAGATTTATGAAAAATAGTTATTCTGTACGGTTCGACCTGTAAATCTCAAGCTAGTTTGTTATGCGCCAATGATGACAGCAGGAGTGCATTAATTTGTATTATATGAGCCTTACATATAATTATGCCTAAATACCAAGTGTTGATTATTTTCCCTGAACAACAGTTAATGAACTGACAAGAGTTAGAGTTACGACTTCAAAGTATATACGCGTTGTAACTTCTATGCATTCCAATTTGAAAGACTGCAATGAAAACTTAGTGTTCGAATAACACGAGTAAAGATCCTAAAGAAAGGTGCTAAATGTGTGATAAATATTATATATTCATTTGAAATGTTGAGAACCCTGGATAGGAAAGCTTGATAAATAAAGCGGCATTATTTCAGATTCTGTCAGATGGAAATATTTTCTTAAGCAATATAATTTGATCTCAAGTATACCGAAATACATTGTTTTCTAGGATTGATTGAGTTGAAGGCTGGCATAATAATGGCCGGCTTTGCCTTAACCAGGTTGTTTTTTTAGCGTACCATCCTAATTGAAGCTCGTCATGGGTCATCAGATCGGTCGAAAGGATGACGTCACGGCACCGAATCGCCAGATGCATTGTGGGATCTGTATCGCATATCAGTTTACCGGCCGTGAATATTTATTATATACGATACTATACATTTTCCAGGGGCAAAATCTCTTACTTGCCTTTAGATAAGCTACATAAGTAAGAATAAAACGTAATAATATTTACAGATCAGATAACATTGTCATGATCCATTATCCTGCAGCAATGATAGTGTTGCAGTTGGCTGGTTTGCTGGAAGATCAAACTGATTCGCTTTGTTCTATAACATCAAATGTTTCGAGTTCTTTACATTGCCTTTCAATTTCAATATAAATTAGTTTTGCATAACGTCGAGGTTTCTGGTGAAATGGTATGTTGTTGGTCAGTTCTGTGGTCTGAGGTGTCACATGAGTGCGTCAAATATCGGGATCGGTATTACCAGGTATTACTATGAGCCGTCCGAACCCTGGTTACCTGGTAAGCATTGATAAAATTTTATCCTTTTCCACCTCAAAAAAGTGAAAAGGAATTTCATTTTCCATTCTTAGAAGGCTCCATTTATCAGCATCATTATCTTCGTCCAGTTGTACAGTAATTGTACTACCAAACTAACTCTACCAGGTACATCGCCTTTCTTGATTCGTGGAAGTTTCGTTTCTCCATCGCCTGTACCCATCCATCCACAAATTGTTTGTAAGCTTCAAGCGTCTTGTATGCCTCAAATTCTTACAAGGTGTATTGGCCAACCACCAAACACCAAATAGTTTAGTAAATCACATTATCACCGTGTTAAACGGGAGGCAGGCTTGCAAAATCTGCGCATCATGATTTTGCCGGCACTTCGTTGGCATAAACATCGCTAATGTCGAACAATTTTCTTAAATATCGGTCTCTCACTCAAGGAAGGAGTTTTTGACAACAGCCTAATCCTTTATGCTTTGTTCTTTCTTTCTCCACTGCTACCAAAACGTCCAAATGTGTAGGAACGAAGGAGTAAGCTGAGGCGCCAGTGTGATACAAAGATGGCGGCGTAGCAACGCGGCTAACGTGGATACGCGGGAGCTTGGCGAGCCCGATTTGGTCGACTCTGAGGGTTGTCGGCATGGCACTCCGAGGCACGTGATATTTTGCTCGACTGGGCCATATCAGAGGGCATTAATGGGATTTTACCCCATTTTGAGCCATTGTAGGTTGTATCATCACTAAAGTAGGAACTGAAACCATAGTACTAATCGTTGCAGGTTATTGAGGTATACAACAAAGTTAATGAATCTGTTCACACGATCTACGTGATGCCAACAATGACTGACCCGAATGGCCTAACTCCTCTCTTGAGGCCTATTTTCCAACTCTATTTTTCGATGAGTGAATTGTCTCATAAATGAATGCCAACACAGACGAGACGGATAAAACGTTGCCGGTTGAACATACTAATATGTATGACGACACGTTGACCTCGATAATAACATGGAATTATTGCACGCTGTACTAAGTTTTTGATAATCAATTCCAATGCTAAACATTATATTTCGCAATTGCAGATTAAAAATTCTATAAAGTTTATAAAACCGTCCACAAATTGCAAAACATTAACAGGAACTGCAAGTAAAAAGCAAGTGGTGATTACATTATACGCAAATAGAAAGTTACATTTCTTGGAAAGCTACATTTTGAAAATTACTCAAATGCGTTCATCAGTAATAGGTATGCAAAGTATATGATGATGAATAATGGCCAAAATCTCTCATTGATAGTGTATTCAATGATGTTCCTTGTTCAAATCAAGAATACAAGAAAGAAATGTCCCTTAGCTCCGAGATGCAGAGGGCAAAGAAGGTTACGCGTGCGCTGTCATTTACGCGTGCACCTACGCGCGTCATTTTCTTGAGCGCCCGTCCGGCTCTAGGGGCGTGCGTGGCCCGAGGCATCGCGACCGCAGGTGCGTCTGCCGTGAGCTCGCGCGCACAGAACGCGAGCTGCGGGAACCGCACACACCGACTTGACAGACCGGCGCTAGGGCTGGTGAGGAGAGGACGTGTGCCGCTCAAGCTTCTTGTGACGTCTGCCCTAACTGACGTGCGTCGTTCAAGATTTGAACGAATTCTCCTTTAATAGTTATCGATATTGAAATTGTTTACGATTTTAGCTACCGTACTGAGCTACCATTTATAACTTGCTTTATCAGCAAATTATTTAGTACTTTTTCATCCTTTTTAACCACTGAAGACAATTTTAAGTGAGAAGATTCTGAACTTGCAGTGGAAGAAAATAATCTCTAACTTCAACGTCATGGCTGTTCATTCTGAAGAACCTCAACGAAAGCCAAAAGTTTATCGGCCAGTCAGTGAAACGAGAAAGGTAAATGAATGTGTTAATGTTTACAAATGGCTTTGTATGCACAAATTGTATTCTGTTTAAATAGTACTAGCATTAAAACAATATTAGTTGTTGGAGATAGCTAAGGAAAAAATTTAATTATATCAGCAGTCAAATTTATGATTGAACATTATCACAGATGAAGAGGACCATTTTGAACATTAACTATAATTAAAAATATAACATAGAAATTTCATCCGCTTCTGAAAAGATACCTCTGTGTCATTTCTGGCAAAGACATTGTGCTGCTTTCTCGTTGTTTCTTCCCGAAATTTAATTGTTCACTTGTTAGTTGCTTTGAAGGGGGCGTAAATGTATTGTGTAGATATCTAACTGTTATTTCTCGCAATTTAATGTTGTACTTGTTTGTTGATGTACAGGTGCGCAAATGTATTGTGTTGTTATCTAACTGTTATTTGTTTGTTGATGTACAGGTGCGCAAGCCTCTGATGGAGCGCAAGAGGCGAGAGCGCATCAACAGCAGCCTGGAACAGCTCGCGCTGCTGCTCAAGGAAGCCAAACTCGTCGCCGCCGACAAGCCCGTAGCCAAGCTCGAGAAGGCAGACATCTTGGAGCTCACCGTCCGTACGTGATATTTTGCTCGACTGGGCCATATCAGAGGGCATTAATGGGATTTTACCCCATTTTGAGCCATTGTAGGTTGTATCATCACTAATTAAAGTAGGAATTGAAACCATAGTACTAATCGTTGCAGGTTATTGAGGTATACAACAAAGTTAATGAATCTGTTCACACGATCTACGTGATGCCAACAATGACTGACCCGAATGGCCTAACTCCTCTCTTGAGGCCTATTTTCCAACTCTATTTTTCGATGATTGAATTGTCTCATAAATGAATGCCAACACAGACGAGACGGATGAAACGTTGCCGGTTGAACATACTAATATGTATGACGACACGTTGACCTCGATAATAACATGGAATTATTGCACGCTGTACTAAGTTTTTGATAATCAATTCCAATGCTAAACATTATATTTCGCAATTGCAGATTAAAAATTCTATAAAGTTTATAAAACCGTCCACAAATTGCAAAACATTAACAGGAACTGCAAGTAAAAAGCAAGTGGTGATTACATTATACGCAAATAGAAAGTTACATTTCTTGGAAAGTTACATTTTGAAAATTACTCAAATGCGTTCACCAGTAATAGGTATGCAAAGTATATGATGATGAATAATGGCCAAAATCTCTCATTGATAGTGTATTCAATGATGTTCCTTGTTCAAGTCAAGAATACAAGAAAGAAATGTCCCTTAGCTCCGAGATGCAGAGGGCAAAGAAGGTTACGCGTGCGCTGTCATTTACGCGTGCACCTACGCGCGTCATTTTCTTGAGCGCCCGTCCGGCTCTAGGGGCGTGCGTGGCCCGAGGCATCGCGACCGCAGGTGCGTCTGCCGTGAGCTCGCGCGCACAGAACGCGAGCTGCGGGAACCGCACACACCGACTTCACAGACCGGCGCTAGGGCTGGTGAGGAGAGGACGTGTGCCGCTCAAGCTTCTTGTGACGTCTGCCCTAACTGACGTGCGTCGTTCAAGATTTGAACGAATTCTCCTTTAATAGTTATCGATATTGAAATTGTTTACGATTTTAGCTACCGTACTGAGCTACCATTTATAACTTGCTTTATCAGCAAATTATTTAGTACTTTTTCATCCTTTTTAACCACTGAAGACAATTTTAAGTGAGAAGATTCTGAACTTGCAGTGGAAGAAAATAATCTCTAACTTCAACGTCATGGCTGTTCATTCTGAAGAACCTCAACGAAAGCCAAAAGTTTATCGGCCAGTCAGTGAAACGAGAAAGGTAAATGAATGTGTTAATGTTTACAAATGGCTTTGTATGCACAAATTGTATTCTGTTTAAATAGTACTAGCATTAAAACAATATTAGTTGTTGGAGATAGCTAAGGAAAAAATTTAATTATATCAGCAGTCAAATTTATGATTGAACATTATCACAGATGAAGAGGACCATTTTGAACATTAACTATAATTAAAAATATAACATAGAAATTTCATCCGCTTCTGAAAAGATACCTCTGTGTCATTTCTGGCAAAGACATTGTGCTGCTTTCTCGTTGTTTCTTCCCGAAATTTAATTGTTCACTTGTTAGTTGCTTTGAAGGGGGCGTAAATGTATTGTGTAGATATCTAACTGTTATTTCTCGCAATTTAATGTTGTACTTGTTTGTTGATGTACAGGTGCGCAAATGTATTGTGTTGTTATCTAACTGTTATTTGTTTGTTGATGTACAGGTGCGCAAGCCTCTGATGGAGCGCAAGAGGCGAGAGCGCATCAACAGCAGCCTGGAACAGCTCGCGCTGCTGCTCAAGGAAGCCAAACTCGTCGCCGCCGACAAGCCCGTAGCCAAGCTCGAGAAGGCAGACATCTTGGAGCTCACCGTCCGACACCTTAAATCAGTTCGCCGTAACGCAAATATTGTTAGCACTCCACCTCAAGAAGAAACTAATATTACAAAGTGCAGCATCAAAAGAGAAATAGAAAATTCGCCAAACATCAAAAAAACAGATCTCGCAACTAACGGCAATTTAATCACTGATGAAATACCAAATCCATTAAAACCAATTCAAACTAGTACAAAGGTTAGCGATGAAGCCCCAACCGCTTTGGACGGTGAAACGTCTGAAAAAACTGGTAAGGAAGCTCGCGACTCGAGTTACATCGAAGGATTTCACATGTGCCTTTCGGAAGTGAAGCAGGCGGCTGAAAGTGCACAGGAGTTAGGAGCCCTCAAAGATCGTATTTTCGATCATCTTGAAACGTGCTTGCTCAACTTGCCACCCGATACCACTTCAAATGAACGGATCGGTAATGAGAAGAGGGCTCGGAGCCAAGAAAACGATTGCGAAACAAAGGCCAAAAGAAAGAGGAAGAAGTTGGGCCATCACGAGGAGAGCGACTTGGCGCAGAAAGCCTGTTCAGAGGCTGTGACTGAAGTGACGCTGGTTCCAATGCAGCTTTCAGACGGACGAGTAGCTTTCCTTATGCAAGGAGATGCAAAGATTCTCATCACTGAAAAGAATAACGATAGCCAAGACCCACAGAATCCTACATATTCACCTGTAAAAATTGAACAGCCTATCTTGAACAGGTCACAAAGAGCTATTGAAGCGTGTCCTAATTTGTTACATGCAAACGAAAATAAAGCGCCTGGTGTTCTAAGCGATAAAAGTTCTGCACCACAATGTACAGACGGGCAAAATGTTCTTGAACAAAATATCTCAACGCCGACTATTACTATGTTCAACCATAACGATAAATCATCTTTTCAGAAGAAATCAAGTTTCATTTGTTCAAAACCGGCCCTTGCTCAACACGAACGTAGACTAGGTATGAATTTACTAAAAATTTACCCGAATATTAAGACAGTGAGTTTGCCTATTGGTCCTCTCCCAAATACGCCTACTTCAACTCATGTGACCAATAGTGCACCGCGAAAAGGAACTCGTAGTGCAAACATCGTTCTCTCAAGCCCTTGCAGCGAGTTCTGTGGGCTGAACCAAAACGCAGCAGCCACAGCTTTGCTATCGAAGCAAAGTTCATCTAATTCCACCTTCACTCTGCCAATCCAATCTCAAACTCGACCCTTCACCTCTGAGACTACCAGCCATTATTCGTCCAGTACAAAGCACATACATCCACGAACGTGTATAGTGCAACCAGGGTCTCGGTTGGCGCCTGTAGAACCAAAACCTACATTTGGTACAGTTTATTCCGGGTCTCACTTAGCACCTGTCGAAGCAAAAGCCTCAGTAAGGATCGTGCAACATAATGCTGTGACTGTTCCCCTTACTTCCGTCTCAGCTCCAGTAATGTCAACTCTCATGACTGTACCACTCATACCCACCGTCGTGCATAGCTCATCAGATACACGCGTGAATTCGTCTCCACAAGCAGGGAGTTTGGTCAATCAAAATTTTCAAAATTCCCTCCCTTATGCAGCTACTGAGGAACGCCTTGTAGGTTCATCACTGCCGACTTTACCTCCGACGCCTCCTCCAAGTGTTGACCAATACTTGACTGAACCTCTTGCAAAGACCAATCCATTGTCTCTGATACCTGTTGAAACGAAATCCTCAAATAACTCGGCGTCAGCTTTCGTCCCTCAAGTTACACTGGAGCCAAGTATCATGACATCCAATTGGAATTCCACTAAAGAAATGATCCCTTGTGTTTATACATATTTCCAATACTTAACACCGGCTCGTCTACAATATACCGGGCCTACGGCGCCATCTATGTCGTTCGCACAGCAAGAGGACGAAGAATTTATCGATGTCGAAAATGTTCCTAAAGAAGACCAACCGCCGCAGCAACCTTTGGCAATCAAAGGCAATTCTCAGAATTTTCTTAGCCAAGAGCATGAGAATGGTGAAATGTGGAGGCCTTGGTAGCTACCAACGAATTTATTCAAGTTACAATCGTATTGAAACCGTCATCTAACTCGTCTTCTTTCATTATCTCAAAGTCAATTTGTAGTCCATTTTCTGTTTCTAAAATTTATTCGTTCACCACTGACGCTCATTGTTCGTGAGTAACGTAAAATGCTCCATAAATATTTGTCGATAAGCTGCTCAAGTAAATAGAAAAAATTATTTATTGCAGCTCGTATTTTCCTAGAATTTGGCAAATTTGTTATCGGGCTCATTTTTCCAGTCATATCAAAAACTAATGAATGTTTGTAAATGAGCAATATAATAATGGCTTTTCCTTCTGTGATAGTAATATAAGAGAATTATTACTTATGTAGATAGTAATGTAAGAAAATTATTACTTATGGGTAGATTAGTGACGTAATGGTCTCTTAGATTGGACAATTGGTCGTGGCACAACCTCGAGCCATTCAAAAGATGTGTCGTTGTGACAAAACAACCCACATAATTTTCCTACTGATATTTTTTATTAATCATTACACGCTTATCTAAGTAATGAATACATTTCTAGGATAAAATCTATTCATATAGTAAGATAACAATAAGTCACTAGTAGGTTACCATTACTTCAAATACGGCTTATATACCAAATATTGTACATACAATTAATGCATTTCACTAGTGTTGTCATTTCATGCACTGCAATATCTAAAATCGTAACCCATTCCTTATTCAACTGTGAACAACCTTCAGGATGTTGATTACCTCAATTAGATTGATATGATATTAGATATTAAATAATATTTTATCTCTAACATTTTTCCTTACCCTTAATTCTAACTGAAGTCTTCCTAAAAATATGGATTTGTCTAAAGAATTTAATTTAATATTCTATCGCTGATCACATCAGAAAAATGTGCATCTTTTCATCATGTTTTTAATTTCAACCTCAGTGTCTTTCTGGTCGCTTAACCAACGTATTCCAGATAAAAATAGTTGCAAGGTTGTTGGCCAAAGAACTTTCAACTAAAATTCCAGTATAAAATCCAGGAAGACGATTGAAAACTGTTACAAATATCTTGACGTCTATGAAAGAGAGCTAAGTGTCCGGATGTGAAGCTCATTGATTTAATCCGCTATCTCGAAAAAAATTTCGTGTTTCAGTGACAAGTAAATTTCAACAGAAGACTTCCTGAGTGAAATTTTATGCTCAATTTAACTGCACTTAATACAATTTTCGAACACGATCAATACGAAACAATTTTTGAGAGTTTGCCTCACAAATCTAGTAATTGAAATCATTTCGTATAAACCTGATTTTCATTCATGATCTTAATACTGGGTGGGGAAATCTTCAGCATTGAAAATTGCTACCAATATCTAAATATAAACCGACACCATATATTTGACAAGGCCAAACAGCTTTCGGTGGTTCCGCTTGTCTCAAGGCATTTAAATTACTTGAGATCACTCAATAGGCTTCCGACCTCGCAGTTAACATCTGCATCGGCCACTTTAGACACAAAGGTGAGTATTTCTAAGACGTGTTAACGATACCCAGCCGTTACATCCTTAGTGCCACTGAGGAGCTCAATACAAGTACTGGATAAATTCTATTCTGTCAGAGAAGACTTACGTTAGAACAACTTCCTTCCTGCTCCGACCAAAATCCTTCTATTACTCAAGCATAAAGAGTATTAAAACTTCTATTACTCAAGCCTATAGAGTATTAGGAAATACATTCGTCACAGTAAAAGATTTCAGAATTTTCCAGGGAATTATTCTGAAGAAAACCAATTATGCTGAATTTATTTACTTTCAACACTTTTACGTTGTATAAATGATTAAGTTAGTTATTGAACTACTGTCACTTTTACAATTTTCGTGCCAAAAATCAGGAATTTTTGGTAAACCTTATAAATTCATACAGAATTTTATACACGCGAGTCTTACAATTTCACTCCTGAAATCTGTGTCGGAATTTCAGATCAAGAAAAAATCGTCTCATTCAGCGACAACGGATAACACGAATTAAATTTGGAATGCACCGGTAGGATTGAATACTTATTATTTATCATTATACAAGTTTTGATATTACTCTGCTAAAGAATTTGATAGGGCACCGAAAGAAAAGTTTCATTGACGATTTTTACTTCCAAGAATGAAGTATAGAGCCAGGTTATATTCATTTTTTCATTCATCTAATGAGGTTGACATAAGTTGTTTTTACAAGGAAAATTAAAGAGTTAAATCAACGCCTTCCTCTCAACAAACTTGGCCTCATTGCCTGAGGACGAGTTTGAATGTGGATGAATGGATTTGTGAATGGAAAGTGCAAGCAATTACTACCAATGAAATCGTTCTTTTATCGTCGACGTGTAAGTGGATATTGAACTGTTCGCGTGCGTTTAAAATTTTGAACGAAATATATTCGTGAATATGTGCAGAAGTAAAGGATGCGCGACATTATCAGGTATTTCCTTGTTTGCACATTCAAAAAATTGCCCGAATAAGGATGCGTCAATTAATTTTTGCTGGAATTGGGAGATTAATCTAATATTAGCTAAAGAATGAAAGATGCTCAGTGTGCCGCATGCGCATCAATTGTCATAAACCGAAAATGAGATGTGAAGAAATCATGTAAGCAGAAGGAAGCTAATTGAAAGATATTAATAAATATCGCATTTCTTGATGGTGTACAGAATACAAAGTTTTCCATACTTCTCAGTGGCCCAGAATTCGACGGTTTTCCAGCAAATGTCCAGGTACCTGACACGCCCGAAAGGTATAGTGCGGCGTGTACCTACAAGTACCATTGTCGCTCGAACAATACCAGAACTATTCCATCAAGATCACGGAGCGGAAACAACACTTGCTCGACGACTAAACACCTGCATTGATTTATTTCAATGCCTCTTATCCAGGATCAGGCCATTGAGTATTATCAATAACTCCTACGCAAGAAAAGTTAGAAATAGTGAAAGGAAGGAGGAACAGAACTCGGTCAGCTTCGAGTGAGGTCGATGATGGATGAGGTCTTCAAAGTGCCGGTCTACTTTAGACACTTATAATCCGACGAAAAATTTCGATTCTGCCTGGAACATTACGATGATTAATCACTCTGGAGCGCCGATGCTCTGAACCATTTTAAAACTATTGCGTCTCCTTTGCACGTAGCCGCTCGGGATCTCAAAACCATTCAAGACGGCAATGTTCGTGTTCAAAACAACTATTAAAGTAAGATTAACGTCTGACGTCAGCTTTCGCTTAGATTAAATATCTGGTTTGTGAGACCTCATGGTTACAGCTCAGGTACAATTTTTCTCGATTCCTGAATAAATTATAATAATCAATTGAATTTATTCTCAAACCGCTCGTGCACAAATAGTCAAATGTTAAGTTAATGAGCTACATTATGACTTTACTGTATAAATAGAACTGTTTACGCGTTGTAATGAAAAAAATAAATGACGCCCGCGATCTTTCTTACAGGACTATGCTGCAAGCGATTCCTGTTTCAGTGATGGATTAAAGACAACTGAAACAGTATTTGTCATTTTCTCGCAACACGAAAGCTGTTAAATAAGAACGACTTCAAAGAAGCATTCAATAAAATTCAGTCTCGGGTCTCGAAGTTCTCGTTATTCCACTGTTCAAGTTTCGTCTACACAGTACACACAGGATTTTAATCCTAACGAATCGTCATTTGGTTGTTCTCGACGGCCGCATTCCAGACCTCTACAGACTCTCACTTATTTCCGAGCTTAGCTGACTGAGTGATACACGATCCAAACACTGCAATAGCTTCTCTACTAACGGAATGAATGACAATTACAGTTTAAATTACCAAAATTTACCAAGATAATATTTTTAATTATATTGGGCAACAAAACATTGTCATTTAGACTATAATTTAGTTAATGAGTTTCGAGCCTAACAGCGGACCTACTATATGAGGCTAGCTTTAACATCATGTTGGGTGAGTGAAATAACATTTCTTCAGTGCCATGAATTGACTCAAGAGAACTCCATAACAAATTTCGATGAAGTTCATGCAAAATTAAACAAGCTGCACCCACGATGTCATTTAAAGTGAAGTTATTAAATATAATAAGTATTAATAAATTAGACGATCAGGCATAAGGTTGTTTGTGCTCCGCAGTCCGCCATGAGCTGCTTGCGAAAATTATGTTCTATTTTAAGAAAAGCTTTATGAATTTCGAAAATCTTGTGTCTGTGGCAGACCAAGCGTCTGCAGCAACCGTCAAATAGTTACAGACTCATTTGTCATGAACGCTAAACACTGGTCGCTTTTGTGAGGGTCTGAGTCGCACTCCGCTTTGCAGCGACACAAGAGCCGAGGATGGCTGCTAAGCTCTTCACTCAAAATGCTTTTGGCAGAAATTATGCCTTTTGGTGGAAGTCATGCCTTGCCAGAGCAGAATTTCAAGGGACTTCGTAATCCGATGCTTAACGTCCAAACTATTCATATTCATTAACATTCATGAGTCATCTTACGTGCTTCCTAAGGCTATGTTGAATCTTCTGGCTGTGAATGACTGCAGAAAATATATTTTGACCAGTTTTCTAAATTCGTCGGCTTCTTCCTACACAAATTAAACATTAATATAAGAACGGTTTCGCAGGACAAGTGGAAAATACCAGCTTTACTTTTAGTCCAGTTCACAAATGAATAAAAAGTAATTAATTTGCAATGTGGAAGGATATAATCGATTTATTTCAAACCCCATTTTACGTGACTAACAGTAATCCTTTTCTCATCAACACTGTTTTATTGAATTATGAGTAACATTTCCGCTTGATCGAGGTTTTATATAATCTCGTGTGCATTAAAAAACTTTTGAATATCTTCACCCGGTGAATACCATTCTTATAGCGTGAACAAACAAATTCACGTCGATCAAGCTTTTGATATATGATCAATGTTCGCTTATTTCCCCTGTCGTGACTTCAATTTCAACGAGCGGTAACCAAATATTTTTCATCAAAAGAACGGGCATGCGAAGTGGCCTGCAATTACACATTTGAACCATAAACAAATTTTGGCGCACGTAATATCCCTGGAATTTTGACAACGCATTCCATAGGCCTTATCCAAATTACTTTCTGCGCGTAATTGTTTACCCTTTGTATTGTAACATTTACATTTGCGAACAAAAGGGCAGCGAACTGCAGGTGGAAAACAACATGCAGAACGCTGCTGTTCAAATGAACAGTTATTGACGAGCTCTTTTGTGATGCATGGGAATGTCATTAGTCGACCATGCGCATCATGGGAATCTTGGGATTGTTATGGAATGCTGACAATATAATTACTAAACAAATACCCCGCTTTTAGATAAAATAGTAATGCTTCAAAGTTGTGGATTGTAGACCGCACATATTTATTTCAACAGTGGTTTGTAAGGGATGCTTATAAAATAATAGGTCATTATTTTTTGGTCATTACTGTGAAAATTAGAATCAATACGGCTCAATAGCGTAATTTTATTTCATTTTCTCATTGAATATTTCTAAATGACAATTATGGCATCAAAAAGAAGATTTAATGTACAATTGTTAGTAAATTCGTCTTTGGAACGCGTTTTCCAACGAAACAACTAAAATCATTAACATAAAATTCCTCCTATATTGAATACGATCTGGACTTTCCAGGAACCTTAAAAAAATTTTGATCTTATTTTGGGAATTGCTCATGTACAAAAAATGTATTTGCGTACATTTTTTTGTTAAAAAAATTTATTTGCGATCAGTACTGTTTAATTTTTATTGATGACTGCGAGTCGGGAGCTGTGACGACTT